TAGAGTCTACCCAGAATTTAGCCAAAATGACATGTATTGAACCCTAATCTGATTCTCCTCTATCTTTCTACTTGTCTCCCCCCAACCCCCAATCTATATTTCTAAGTAGACTTGCTTCTGGAATATTCTTATAAAAGAGATATAACCAGAAAGAGTGGAGAGCTTCTGGGAAAGGACAAACAAAGTCATGGAAGGCAGGCAAGAACTTCTCTCTGCTAGCTGAAAAGTGAAGTAAGAGTTAATCCTATCTTCAGTGAATTCTTTGAACAAAATCTGGTTTGTTTGACATTACAACACAAATTCCTGCCTTAAACAATTAGGGTGTGCTGAGCGGAATAAACCCTCAGACAATAACTTTATTTTGTCCACTCAAAATTTTTTCTCTGTTAGTCTACACTCAGCAAAAATTTCATCAGAGAGGTCAAAGGCAGAAATAATGAAAAAGTGGGATGCTCTGGCATTGTCTGACCTTCTAGAAAGCAGGGCAAATCCAGATTTGTGGTCACCTGAACAAATGCTTCAAGGACCTGCCCTCCAAGTGTCATTTAGCTGGCCATGCGGCAATAAGAGCTCCATGCATAGGAAAGTGAAAATTGCTGCTGTGGTCTGAGCAGCTTCTGAAGGAGGAGAGAAGCAGCATTCTCCTCGGTAGCTAATAAAAGGCCATCTGGAAACACCCTTCGACTTTTGTGTTAAATTTTATTTTTTTAATGCACTGGGGCTTGCAGACAAAATTAGGTTTTGTGGAAGCTAGCAAAGAGGCATATCTGTTGCCTTTCCTGGAGAGTTTGTCATTTATATTTATGACATTGTTTCACAACTGACAAGGTGACTCAGCTCAAATCCATTTGCAGAACTTGGGACTTGCTGCTATAGATTCTGTGAATGACAAGTCCACACCTTGGAAAGTGACTAAATAAATATTGTGTCTCGGGTACCAGTGTCCTCTAAGTACTCTCGAAGCCAATGCAAAGTGAAAATTCTCACTTTCTTTCCCTTCCAATATTAGCTGAGTGGAGAGCATTGTTTACCATGTGACTGCATAACACACAGATATGTTTTTCTCTATAAAGGAAGCAAAACCTAACATGCACTAGGTTGGCTCTGTCTGGGGTGCACACTCATACAGAGAGAATTTAAGGCAAATACCAAAATAGTAAGAAAAAAAGGCTCTAAAGAACAAGTAGGCAATTTGCCCAAATCCAAATGCTGGTGAGAGGTTGAATGACAATCACCTCCTCTACCTGTCCATTGTCCGAGTCACAAATAAATTGATTTGGTTTACAAAATTAATAGGAGGCCATATTCCCAGTAGACCTGGTGCTAGAGAAATTCCCAGGAATCCACAAGGATGATCCCAATAAAGACTTCTAGCAATAGTGGAAAGGGTTACAGGGCCATCTCCTGTAATCAGATTGGTGGCTACCCTAATTGTCATCATAGAACCTTCATCCAGTGACTGAGAGAAACAGATGCTGTGATCCACAGCCAAGCACGAGGCTGAGCTCCAGGAATTCAGCTGAAGAGAGGGAGGAGGGATTGTATAGACAAGGGGGTTCAGGATCATGATGGAGAAACCCAAAGACAGCTGACCCTCTCACAGCTGAAAGCTCATGGACTCTGGACTGACAGCTGCAGAGCCTTCATGGTACAGAACTAGGTCCTCTGCATGGGGGTGACAGTCGTGTGGCTTGGTCTGTTTGTGAGCTCCTGGCAGTGGGATAAGGAGATATACCTGGTGCGTAAACTGGCTTTTTGGACCCCATTCCCTTGCTCAACCTTGATGCAGGGAGGAGGGGCTTGGTCTTGCCTCAACTTGATGTCCCAGGCTTTGTTGACTTCTTATGGGAGGCCTTGCCCTTTCTGAGGAGTGGATGGGGGGGTGAGGGTGGGGAGGTGGTGGGTTATGGGGGAGGGGAGAGAGGGGAAACTGTGGTTGGTATGTAAAATAAATAGAAAATTTAAAATAAATAAAATAAAAAGAAAATGATTACCACTGAGTACAAATATAATTGAGGATGAAAAAAAAATAAACCTCAACAATGCAGTGAGATATTATCTTATAAAAGACCTTAAAGAGAAAGTGAAACTTTGATCAAAGGCATAGAAAGAAAGGGAAATTCATTTTCATGTTGGGATCAGAATCATATACAAGATAGATAATATACCCATCAAAAGTCAGAACAACAGTAATTCTTCCTAAGGTACACACACATATGTTTATCTGCATACACACAAAGTGACCTATGCACGTGCTCATCTGACACATGCTAACATGCACACATGCATGTATGCACAAACATGAGTACTAAAACCTCTCAAATTATTTAATGTGAGAATAAAGAATTTGACAGAACAAAAATGTCTATAGGGATGTGTAGAACATTGATTCCTTTCAGTTGAGGTCCCTGTGGAGTGCAAAACTCCTGCTCCTAATCTCTTCAGGAAGTCTTTCTTCATCTACTAAGAATTCCAGACACTTGAAGCAAAATGGCCTCACTGAATCCATATTTTCTTTGAGGCTAAATATTGGGATAGAAGAAAGAACAGGAGCTTGGACTGAACAGTGTGTGTGCATGTGTGTGTGTGTGTGTGTGTGTGTGTGTGTGTGTGTGTTATGTGTGGGATAGAGAGAGAAAGAGAGGGCAGCTTATTGCAAGAACAAGCTCCAAATCCTTACTTGCTCTTTTCCACATTCTACATAAATTAACTTGTCACTTTTCCAAACCTTTACAACATCTCCAAAATCAAAGTTCATGTGTGCAAAATAGTAAAACACAAATTATACAGCCCTATTGAAGAGACAATAGTGTGCATTCTCAGTTTTAGGGAGAATGGTCTGCCTGAGGTGACTTTCCAATAGAATTTACCATTTATGAGACTGGACTTTGGGCAGCAACTCTGATATCAGATTCCTTGATACTCCCCTCCACTGACAAGTCATTCTTAGCTACGGATTAATTAAAAACGGGATGTTAGAGACTGACTCTTTTGCTGCATAGAAATGCAGGTCTGCAGCTATCTCATACACATAGAATTGTGTTTTCCATGGTGATAACTGACATTTTAGAAGGAACAATGGACACTTCAAGTCTTGAGACAAAGCAAAACAACAAAACTCTTCTGATTCTTAACTCCTTGCTTGTCTACAATTAAATGTAAGACAAATACTTTGCATAAGAAATGTTCAGATGACTCATGTTGCCTATACAAATATGTATAAGCTGTATGTATTTTTCTCCAGCAAACAAAAGAATGGTTTGTCAACAGTTTATAAAGAATATAAAATTTCTTTGTGGCTAATAATATACTTAGTGTAGTATTTGCGGGTTCCAATATGTACCTTGAAAATTGATTGAAATTAAAAGTTCTGCTCTGACATGACCAATATTTTAGTACTCACAATGCATTACAAAGGAGGTTGGTCATATTCCATAACCTGGGAAATACTTTTCCATTGCTATTCACTGGCATTTTAGAATGCTATTGTTCCTCAATGTCCTCAAATTCCTTGGATACAAAAAGATACAAAATACAGAACGTGTGAAAGGTTAGACATTTTTTTAGGAATAGAGATTTTTTGATACGTCAGTAATATGTCAATCTGCAATCATCAAGCTCCCAGGAAGAAATCCATTTTTGAAGCTGTTTCAGAGTAAGGTGTTAATGAATAACAAAAGAACTCCTAGAAAGTATTTTCCCCCTCGTTGCCTTTGGTTGATCCCATGCTCTCCTCTCTAACTGTTCTCTCTTCTCTGACTATGCTGGGCTTCTACCCATCTCTGCTATACATACTCGAATGCCTGCCCACAGTCCCCTCCCAAGGTTTAAGTTCCAGAAGTTAAATCTTCTTGGAGCTTTCCTTTATTCCACAGGGGAAAGTTAGCCACTCCTTCTCTACTTCCAGAGCACTAAGGAGACCCCCTTCACAGCAGGTAGTCACAGTTACCATGAGGCATGCATGTATATTTCTTTTCATTTCCAGGGGCTAGACATGGAGTGTGCAATACATAACACTGGGTTATATAATCATAATTTCTGTAGCAACGGGGCTCAGGCTCTCAGAAAGTACCATATTTTCTATGCAGTAAATGTTTTATTTTGCTTTTACTGCACAGTTCAAAGACATCACAACATTGTCTCAGTCCTTCTACCAAACAGTTTATTTTGCCTCTATCGTCCTTTCATTAAACAGACAATGGTACCCAGCTCTCACGGTGTTTGGTGGCATATGTGAAGGTCTCTCTGGAGTTAATCTCGAAATGAGCAGTGATTCTCTTAGTGGTTTTAGAAATAAATTAAAATGATCACCTTCATATTTGGCTTTTTCCAGGTATATCTGCACTGTGGAGACTATTTGTAAAAGCATAATTACCACCGGGTGGTGGTGCACGCTCTTAATCCCAGCACTTGAGAGACAGAGGTAGGCTGATCTCTGTGGGTTCGAGACCAACCTGTTCTACAAGACCTAGTTTCAGGACAGCCTCCAAAACCACAGAGAAACCCTGTCTCAAACACCCACCCACCCCAAAAGAGAATAAAAGCATAATTACCTTAAATCAAAAAGGACATGTCAGAGACAGAGCCATCTGCTTCATAGCCCTCAATATTTAATGTGTAGGTATTGATTTATTCTCTCCGACAGAAAATTGTCACTAATATTGTTCAGATGACCATATGGTCTGACAGGACTGACAACACTAGAGGGACAATTAGACAGAAATGCATGAAGTCATGGAATCTGAGGATGACTTCACATTGCTCTAGTCTTGTACCTCTCAAAGCTAGAACGTTCCCAAGATGACCGAACAGCAAAGCTGTGGGTCTACAGTTCAGACACACAAAGGCTGTTGGATTTGCAGTGAGCACAATTTAAGGACGAGGAAGTCATGTTTAGCGTACAAACCCTAACTCCTGCACTTGTGAAGCTGAGGCAAGAGGACTGTGAGTTCAAGGCAACAGTGAGAATTTGTCTCAAAGACTCAAAAGTCACAACAGCAAAAAGAAGACAACACTTATATTGCTTTATTTCCAAAGTAGTAATATGTTATAACTGAACAAAGACTAGTCAAAGCAAAATCACATTACAATGAAAACAGCTTGCCTCTGACTTCAGAATAAAGCACCGGATTGTTCTGAAATGAATTATTGATTTCTGCACTTCCCTTCTTAAGTCTTTTGAGTAGTTATTTATTATGTTTAACATGTAAAACAGACTTTCACAGTGAAATGGTGAATAGCACGAGGTCGCACAATAAGAAATTTGAAATGAAATGACACAGGTCACAAAAATTAGTAACCTAAAATGAGTCGATGTGAATCAAGGATAGATTTACCAACAGAATTCAACATTAATCTTGTCTTAGTTGCAGTGCTAATAAACTGACCACCTCAGCAATCATGTGGAGAACCGTTCATAAGCAATTACCAACAGAACACACTCCGAACGATGACATTAGGAGCATCTAAATGGATTATTAAACAGACATACTTTTTTTTCTGAAAGTGCCTATGGGTGGGGGATTTCAAAAGTGAACATCATTTCAAAAAGGGAACATCAGAATCCTGAGCTTAGAGCGCCACCTTCTGGTCGGAAAGGAAAAAAGAGAAGGCGGAGGGGAGAGGCAAAGAAAAACAACAAAGAACAATTCTTAATTAAGAAAATGTGTGTGTGTGGGGGTGTGATTCTTCTTTCAAAATATTTCTAAGAGCATCTTACATAGAGATAAATGTAACAGTCAAGGGACAATAAGATGGCTTTGAGGATAAAGCACCTCTTGTGCTTGCAAGCCTGACAACCTGAGTTTGCTCCCAGGACCCATAGGTTTAAGACTAATCCTAAAAGTTGTTCTACTTATGCAGCGAGTTGCGCACATGCCAACCCATGTATATGCATATGAATGTGCAAACCATCAGTTATGTCTTAAAAGACATTCTATTCATGTGCTGGAAAAGCCAGAGTGCATACAAAATTCTAGTCTTGATCCATGAAAATTTTAGAACTTAAATTTCCTTCATTTTGACATTATATCTGTGTTTTGAATCATGAAATTACTGAGGATCAAAAGATAGAGTAGGAAAGGACAGCGGTGTTGGCGTGCCTAGGGGCTGAAAGGGGAAGCTGGGAGTGATACGATGCATGTATAAAACTGTCAAAGAAAAATAAAAGGTGTTTTATTTTCTTAAAATCTCCAAAGCAACCAGGTAGGTGATAAGAGACAACAGATTTACACAGCAAATCCCACATACAGGCAGAGATCTTTTTAAAGATAAAATTCACTTTCTACAAGTCAGTCTTCCAAAGTATGCTCATGTCCTCTACATCACTGCCATTCTGAGCAGTACCTAAGTAGATAAACTTGCATGCTTAGAATGTCTCCAACACATCTCTGTAATCACCTCTTAACTATTCTCTCCACTCTTGTCCATAGAGAGCAGCTTACACACCGCAGTTGTGCTTCTCCATATGGTGAAAATTCTTATGCAGCCTTAAGAGTAAAAACTCAAATCCCTTTACTGTATAGCTTTCTAAATGATCGGCCTTTCTTCTGTGATTCACACCTTTCCATGTTTTTTCTTTTTTTTTTCAGAATAGCAGCAGTAGGACATACTATGAGATCAATAGGGGTGGAGAGATGGCTCAGCAATTAAGAGCATCAGCTGCTCTTCCAGAGGGCCTGGGTTCAATTCCTAGCACCTACAAGGCAGCTGACACTCATCTGTAACTCCAGTACCACAGAACCCAGTGCCTTCTTCGGACCTCTGCAGGCAGCAGGTACCCAGTGGTGCACAGACATAGATGCAATTAAAACACCCACACACATAAAAAAGCTTTAATAAAATTTCCAAAAGATTAATAAAAATATTAACAATTATACTTATTGACTACAGACTGTATCATAAGCCAGGCATTATTACCCCAAATACATAATTATGACAAAATATGGGAAACATAGAATTGATTCTATTAATTATATGGCTTTTATGCACTCGTATTATTTTGCAATCAACACCACCATCCACCTCCAAGAACTTCTTCATCCTTCTCAGTTGAAACTCTGTATTCAGAGAAAGTCTCATTCCTGGCTCCACTCTGCCCAGCTCTATAATAACCTCCTTCTCTGTGTAAGTACTCAAAGAGTCTCACACAAGTAGAAGCATGCAGTCTTTGTCCTTTGTGATTTGCTTATTTTCCTTTGCACAATGCCTTCTAATTCCGACCATATTGTAGCATGTATTAATATTGCTCTCCTGTTTCCAGTGGAATATTTCATTATAAATGCATACCACATTTTGTCAGTAGACAGACACTGGGATTGCCTCTTCCTTTTGACTTCTACAAACAATGCCACTATGAACATCAGTGTCTATTTGTCACATTGATAAAATTAAAATTCCTATAGACTTGATAGCCTACAAAAGATGTTTAATTTTCAGATATGGAAGTGGTGAAGTCGCTGGGCAGTGGTGCCTTTAATCCCAGCACTCGAAAGGCAGAGGCAGCCTTTGGGACAGAGAAACCTGTCAAAAAAAAAAAAAAAAAACCGAAACAAAACAAAGTGATGTAAAGATCAACACATCAGGCTCTGTTAAGGGGCATGCTGAAGATAGCTTCCACCTTCTTACTGTAATGGGAACAGGGACCAGGGTCAGTGGGTCTGTGGTCTCTTCTTATGAAGACATGAATTCCATCCTGAAGACTCGGCAGTGATCCCCTTATCTAACCTACAAACAGTATCACACTACAGCATTCAAAGTACAGACTGAGCTGACAGTCAGTGCAGGACCAATTGCTGCACAAGGATGTTTGGATCCCTGCACTCACCTTTTTTAAAGATTAAAAAACAAAAACGAACAAACAAACAAAAAACCCTATATACCTAGTGTTACGATAAATCTTTTTGCCAAATGCCGCTGAGCCCCACCGCCACATGTGAGCTTTACGACAGCCGCCCGCCCGAGTTAGGCCCAAATGAATACACAGAGAGACTTGTATTAGTTACAATGCTGCTTGGCCAATGACCAGGATTCTCATCTGTTAGCTCAGTCTCAATTATCATACGTCTATATATTTTATAAGACTTATCTTATCGGACGCCTTATTGGCGTCCCTCCTAGCTGGTGGATCACATCGTGCCGCTGGAGCAGGAGCCGAGGGGAAAAGAGGACCCTTCCTGTTTCTCTTTCGCTTAAATATGATTCTCCTTGCTATGTCACTTCCTGCCTGGATCAGCACTTCTCTACTACATTTCCCAGAATCCTCTTTGACTCCTAGTTCCATCTAACTTGCTGTCTCATTGGCCAAACAGTATTTTATTCGATAATCAATAAGATAAACATACACAATAGTACATTCCCCATCAACCTAGAAACGGAACTGCTCAGCCATATGGTAATCATGTTTAGTTGTCTACAGGACTTCATCTGTTTTCCACAATAGATGAAACACAGTAAATTTCTCCAGGAGATGAACAAGGTACCCATCCCTGCCCCCATCCTGGCCTTTTGTTCATTTCCTTACTTTTGGACTGTGATAGACATTCTTGCAGGGGTGAAAAGAAATGCTGATTGGTATTGATTTGCATTTAAAGACGAGGAAGTAATGGTGGTGAATATCTTCTCCTGTGCTTTGGACAGCTACAGGATTTATTTTGAGAAGTGTCTATTTATGTCCTTTGCCCACTTTAAAAAATATTTTCATTAATTCTCTGAGAATTGCATACAAGCATACAATGTATTTTGATGGACATTCACCCCTAGTCCTCCCAACCCCACCCAGATCCACACCCCACCTCCATTCCCTCTCAAATTCTGTCCATTTTTTTTTAATTTCTTGTGTATGAGGGTTTTGCTTGCATATGAGTATGCATGCCATGTGCCTGCCCACTGCCTGCAGAGGCCAGAAGAGGACATCAAACCCTGGAACTGGAGTTACAGTTGTGAGCTGCCGTGTAGGTTCTGGGAACAGAACGTGGATCCTCTGCAAGAACAACAAGTGTCTAACCTTGGAGCCATCTACCCACCGCTTTGCCTACAACTGGAATATTTCCTCTTTTGCTTTGTTGTTGGGCTGGAAACTATTCATATATTCTGGAGATCAGCTGCTTATAAGAACACACTCTTGTAATTCTTTCCTTATGCAGCTACATATTTCTTGTGTAGTGTACCTTGAGGCACATTTTTTTTAATTTTTAATTTTTATTCTTCTCTCATATATTCCATCTGACTGAGGTTTCCCCTCCCTCCCCTCCTTCAACTTTCCCTCTCCTCCAGATCCACCCTAACTAACTCCCTCTAACTCCTATCAGACAAGAGCAGGCCTCACAAGAAGTCTCAACAGATAACAAAATAATTGAAATAACCCCCTGTATCCTAACAGACCACCAAGGATTAAGGCTGGATTTCAACAACAGAAAGCCTACAAACCCATGGACACTGAACAATTCCCTACTGAACAACTCCTGGGGCAGGGTAGAAATAAATATTTTTTAACTTTTATGATATTAAGAATTCCATTTTTCCCTGATATTGCCTGTGCTTTTGATATTACATCTAACACATTACTGTCAAGTTGTGTCCCTTGTTTGCTCTTATTTTTATATTTGGTCCAATTTGGGTTACATTTTTCAGATGTTGCAAGTTAAGCATCCAACTTTATTTTCATACACTGTTTAGTTTTTCCATCACTGTTACCTTTGTTTGGGCCTACTCTACCGATTGCTGGCAGTTTTCTGTTCACAGCATATAGAGAATTAAACATAAGCAGTGTGTCAGTCCACTGAGCCAAGGAGAAGAGATCCAAGTTCAGGTGGACAGGGCAACTAGATAGGAAATTAAACTTAAGCAGAGTGTGCGGGTCTCACTGGGCCAAGGAGAGAAGATCAGAGTTCAAGAGAACAAGGGATCTGCAGGGTAGAGTATCAGGAAAGGAGTTACTTCTCAGAGAAAAACACCAAGGAAGCCCTCACTATCCACGAAGGTTGAAATTCCTGGGAAAGAAGCATGGTCAAAAGAAAACCAACAAACAGCATGTTTGCACAAGATTGGGGAAAGACTGATCTAACCCCAGCTGCAGTTAATGAATGCATTACATTCAAATCCTCGGAATACCACTTGAACATGAAGCTCTAAAAGCCTACACCACATCCATCCTGTCTCACTTCCCAGTTATGCTGGTTAAGCAACTTCCTGTCGTCCTTTACCCCAGCTCTCCTCCGTCTTGGCACAGCCACTCCTCCTCTCTCAACTTCTATGAAGTTTACTTTTTAAAAAGACATTTAAAAGAGGATTTTTTTATGTCTTTGCCATAAAGGAATGATGGAAATTCAAGGTGATGAATATGCTAATTACATTGTTAGAACCATGAAAAGGTTATGCATTTAACAAAACATTATACCATACCCCCATTAACAAATGCAAAGCTATTCTTGCCTCTTCCTAACAAAATTTTAAAAAAGAAAAGAACTGAATCAGCTACTTGTACATTCATTAAAGCTGTCTTGATGAGAAAAGGCAAAGTTGTACATATTCTGTGTGATGAAGGCTATCATCACCACTCAAACTTGTTAGGTTTTAGATGGGGCAGAGTCTTCCAGAGAATATCTAGGTGGACTACTGAGGAATAAAGAGTTTATCAAAAAATTGCCAATGCTGTGACACACAGAGGAGCAATAACACGGTGAGGACTTTGAGGAGAGTTCAGGCCCCAATCACCAGAGAAAAACAGCATGATGGGTAGAAATGGAGGTCTGTTATCACAGCTTTCTGAAGATGGGAGAGGTTTCACACAAGAACTTGGATGTGGGCTCTCTGGTCCCCAGACAGAGAGAATAGGAGCAGGAATTGTGGCCACTCTTTTTATGTGAACGAGCTTCACTGGTAAAGACTCCTGGCATGAGTTGCCTGTTACTCAGTGTATAGGGTATCTGCAGGAGGAGGGCTGAGCTGAGGATGGATTCTAACCACACTCTTACAAATCCCCACTGTACCAGGTTCATTAGTAACATTAAAGGAACTCTCAGAACAAGAGTATTTTTTAATGACTGTTTTGAGAAAGAACATTTCCACATACCTTGGAGAAAACCTGTTTGCATAGGTGTCAGTGTCATTCTTCCTCAGTGTTTCTATCACCAAATATGGACTTATTGTTTCTACATGTGCGGCTGCCATGTTGGATAGCAAACACGGACAAGTATGAATCCCTGACTCGAGTGCCTTTCTCCATGTAGGAATATAAAAAACATCCTCTAACTGCTAATACTGTATCCATAGTTAGGTGGCTTCCAGGGTTAAGCACTAAGATTACAGTAGAAAGGTAAAACAGTCAGTTCTGTGGCCTGCATGCACACAGACTAACAGACAGGTATACACACAGACACACAGACACACAGATACACACACACTATATCAATCATTCCTGAATCTTTAATGATACTGAGGAGAAACTTTATACGTCAAGTTCTTATTCAGTTGGCTTTAATCACATGAGAGTTGATCTTGAATGGCCCACTAGACCCACTCATTAGACCCACTCTTTGAAGGGGGCCCAAAGCCACTACTCGATACACTCCAAACAGTGGTTGAACCTGCAGCTGCTCTCCCAGAATCCTGCTGTCTTCCTTCCTGACTGCCTATTTGCAGAGAGCATGCCCCAGCTTGTGCCTGAGAACAGCAGCCTCCTTGTGGCCTTTTGTACGTTTTACTCAGTTGTGTAAGTAAACTCTTCATATTAAATCATAAAGCATATGTTGCTGTCCCTGGTGAGTATTCTCATTAAACCCTAACTGATACACATTTTCTTATCTCTGCAGTTCCACACTGTGTGTGCAAGGGTCTACTGTTTCTCACTGATCTCTTTACCCTTTATCTGTACATGCTTAAAGATGTTTGTTCTATGCTACATGGCATATGATTTTATCACCAATGTTTGATTGCAGGTGACTGATGGGGCTAGGATGTGGCTGCCGGTGGCACTGACCTTCGACCCAGGTATCTCAGTAAAGAAAACCCTCTTGGTAGTATATTTTGAACGTGCTCCATAATATCACTAAAACCTTCTGTTTTGATTCCAGCTCACATCAGGAAGATATAAGGTGGCAGATGCCTTCCTAATCTTTTTTATTATTATTATTTTATAATATGTGAAGACTGTGGAACATTCACTTTCTTTTTATACATGGTCATTGTTTAATTCCAAAAGTGCTCATTGGTAAACACAGAGGTTTTGATCCAAAGACAGAAAAATTAGACAGGACGTTTCCTTTGGAATTTTCTAAAATAAATGAATAGTAAAATGTTTAAATGCTGGCATTTTCTACATATAATAATGACAAACAATCTAGAGTAAGGCCAAGTTCACCACTTATGCATCATGTTTCTGGATACTGCAGAAAATATTTTCAAATAGTGAGATTATTGACTCCATTGTGTTGGGGTTCAGGTAAAAAACACATGATAAACATAAAATCTGGTAGCTTTTGATGATTATTCTTCTCAAAGTGATCCTCAAAGATAAATGTCAGGAATTGTAAATATATAAAGCATAGTATAGGTCATGTCACCAAGCACATAATGGAACACATTCCAGGAACAAAGTATTTATTGAATATGTGTTTCTTTATTAAAAAATTACAAGATGACACAATGAATATATTGCTGACCTTGAAGTCAAACTGCTCATCTTTGAAATGCAAATAATAATCAAGATGCCCTCCCCCAAGAGTCATGTTCTGAAAATTAAACTGTATTATAATGTAGTTTAATTCTATAACAACATATGATTACGGCCTTCAAAGCCTACTCTCTGATTTATGTTACAGAAATTTACAAAAGAACTCTCATTACTTATTTCACCTTCATTGAACGCCTTATGCTAACAAAGACTGATTCTCTTCCTTTACTGAATAAATTCTTCAACATCACACTACAAGGGTTCCTTGAACTATTT